CTGCGCAATTACTTTAGGTTGTCTTACGTCTATGGGAGATGTCATACGCTTTGTTTCCCTTAGGAAAACGTTTTGCAGATATGATGAGACAAAAAGTCAACACTTTGGTATGCATTAAAAGATACATTCCTTGTAAATGGTTACTCCATAAACAAAACATTGCTCCTAGATGCACGCAGTGCAATTTGTGCGCTGCAACCATTACCCATTGCTGTCGGGACTCATCGGCAATGATATGGCCTTATGAGAGTGATCAATAGAAGTGCATACTCAGCCTTTTGAAAGAACAGAACAATGTGTTGCGCTTTGAGAGTAGATCAAATAACGGTGGAAGGGATGCTCATATAATATCCGTAACTTCTTGAAACGCTGTTTTGGATCAGTTATGGTAAGCATAGGAAATTCGAAAACGATACAGCATAGTTCCACTATGACCTATCTCAGAAGACATGCTCAATTTGCAATTTCGTCTTGAAAGAGCTTTCGAGGAAGAAGTAGCGCCAGTGCGCTTTACTCGTTCTCTCCGCGCATATTGAAGATTCGGATACCAAATCTGCAATGTTGCACTAATTCTCGTTGAATCTGCAACATCAATAGATACGGTTTTTGTCTAAATTATGACCAGATACTTGCAATATTGGGAAAGTAACATTCAGTAGTCGAAAGAGCTGCCATTGAGTGTACAAGTATATCATTACGAGCTTACGATACCAACTCTCAATTGCCACTTTTTCCCAAAAAGAAAAACAATTCTTAGCAGGTGTAGCTCATCCTATAATGAACACTAGGTTAAATCATGTTCGGAAAAAACCCACCAAAACGGACATTAGATCTCTGTGGTGTCGTAGAAAAAATCATATTATTTGAAAAGGCTTATTTTTCGAGTTAGGTTTGAGACAGTCTCACTCTTAATTTTCTCATAAGATAAAAAGTCCCAAAAACAATGCGCAGCCATTCTTAGCAGACCACAAAATAGCGTTTTCAACGAGGGGAGAGGAGGGGAGGGGGAGGGAGAGATATACGTACTATGTGATTCACACTTTCAGCAAAACAAACGTAATAAAGGAACTATGATACCCAGCACAGAGGTTTCGAAGGCAAAACCCCTTCAAGAACTCTATCCTCATGTTCACCCATGAGTGTTGGTGCTGCATATCTATCTATATTAAGCATTACAATTTGATCACCGAAACAGTTCAAAGAGAAAGGCAAGCACAAAAAGCGGAATGATATGGTGCACTGTTGTTAGTGAGGAAATAAGACGTGCATCCCGCCATTCATCCCAAGCTAATTGGTCTTGGTTTGGAGATGTTGGTTCTAGTCGATCACATTGGATTTGGCATAGAGCGTCAAGTCGTAGACGTTCACATAGGCAGCGCGTTACTAGTGACTAAAAAGGCCGACATATCGTGTGTTAGTAGAAAGACAAAGGGTCCGATAAAAGAAATCTGGAAGAGTAAATATATAACAAATGCACTACTCACGTGATAACAATGTGCGTGATGTAGTGTGTACATTTCAGAAAGCGTAGATCGAACTACTAGGCACTCCCTTTCTCTATCCGTTTCCGAGTAAAGCAGCAGTTTTTTCGATGTATCCAATTTGATTCTGGAAAACAATTACGTCAATTTAATACAACAGAATCAAGATATGAAGTGCTGCGCTTTAGTGTATAGCAGACGTAGAGGATAACCTGGCCGATCAAGCGTACAGCGCAGGATACCTCAAAGGTTTGCCATTACTCATTAGAAAAAGGCTTCTGACGATATGAGCCTATGTGATGACGACATATATGATCATTTCACTCTTCCACCCCCAGTACTCTGATTCCACCTTGAGATTGGGAAGTTGGAAGAAGAACATTGGATCTGCTCTTACTACCATGGCAGTCTCCGGGTGCTAAATTACGCACC